GTAGTCCAGTAGTAGTAGTCCAGTAGTAGTAGTCCAGTAGTAGTAGTTGGTAGTAGTAGTAGTAGTAGTAGTAGGTGGTGGTAGTAGTAGTAGTAGTAGTTGGTGGTAGTAGTAGTAGTTGTTGTAGTAGGAGTAGCAGTCGCAGTCGCAGTCGCAGTAGCAGCAGCAGTGGCAGTCGCAGCAGCAGCAGTAGTAGCAGCAGTTGTAGTAGAATATATAGTAGTCTCTTCAAACTTTGCAGCCTGAGACTTCTAAGCTAGCCATCCGAACCAAACCGATGTGCAAACAATTGTCGTCAAGGTTCTGAGTCCTGCATGTTTCTCACTTTCCTCCACCTCTTTGGCCACCTCCTCTTCGCTCATGGCAGCCAGCCGTGCACGCTGCTGACGCGCCTTCGCGGGGGTCTGAACACCATCGGTTGGCGAAGACGGCCGGCGAACATGGCGAACGGTCGGCCTTCTCCCGGCGTGACAGGGTCGAGATTGCGGCTTGAGGCTCCACCACAGCACGGCCCATAGCTCCACGTCGCCTTTGGCACGCAATCGTTGGCAAACAGCCGGTCTCACGTTCAGAAACATCCGGACATTATAACATGACAGGCGAAACAGTGAAATATCAAAAAACGCAAAGGATCAAAGTTGAACGGTGTCTACATTGTTACATGCCCTCATGAAAGCGTTATATGCAACACACCGTGTTAGCATATCGGCGTAACAACGCTGCAGCATTATCAGCATGAAAACATGTTTGGACATCAGAATGACAGTGTTTGCAAGTTAGCATGACAGGCTGGCAAAACGGTTCAATGTTGACCTGACAGCGCGCACCATGCGAGCATGGTAGCCCGAAGCTTAGTCCAGAACTCCGAAACTTGCACCGGAAACTCGTTCGGAAGTCCCGGAACTTCCTCCGGGATCTGTGGGAACCTGCTATGGAACTTTCTCTCCCGAAGCCTGCGGAAACTGCTGCGGAGCTTACTCCGGAAACTGCTCCACAGCTTGCAACCGAACCTGCTCTGGAACCTGCTCTAGAGACCTCGAAGCTTCGCTGTTGGGCAAAAATGTGCTTTGCGAGTGCCCAACAGGAATCCTCGTTTGCGAGTGCCGGGTAACAATGTGCCTTGTTCAGACAATTTGGCATTGAGTAATGTGCTGTCTAAGTTGCTATAGCGTTGCTCTGACGCCAAAGTCTTGATGTTGTGTGGATCTACTCTTAACGCTAGGAGCTTTCAGGCAAATGGATTTGCCACTGAAATATTGGCAAGCCAACAAACGGCATATTGCGGACTGTTGCAGGATAGTGTGGGTTGACAATGTGCATACGTTTGACCTCTTGGCCAATGCCTTTCCTGGGAAAGCGAGATGCACACGGCATAGAAGTGAAGAAAGGCAAATCGAATCAGCGATGTGGTCTGGGCAGTGATGTTCTCTGCAGCCTTCGCAAGGAGGGGAAGCTTCCAATAGGTTGCATCGGGTTTTCGCAAAGTCCTCACTGCGACATACGTCACATGCTGTAGAATCGCTGGCTGCTCAAGGGTTCTGTGTAGTGTTCATTCCATCTTCCTAGAGCACGAAACACTCCTGAGCAGCTCATGTCATAGTATAGTGACGGACTCATACTTAGAACCTTTTTTGGAAAAAAATCGGGAAAAAGGAAACGCCTGACCAAATGGTTCTAAGCGTACGACACTTAGAATCTCCAGCTGTTGGAGAGGCATACTTAGAACCCCGAGCAAATGGAAGAGTTCCTGCAATGGAAGGGGGTTCGTTTTGGCATACAATGCTACAATGCTACGGATTCTGTCAACATTTCCCAAGATGCCTCTCTGGTGGCTGCCGCTTTCTCCGTTCCAGCTTCTCCTTTCAAAACAGGCTCTGTGCACTGTGCCACGTGTGCTCTGTCTTCAACTCACCAGGCCTCTTCTCGTCTTTGCGTGAGCAAAGCCTGCTGAAGCTGTTGGAAGCCTTCAGGCTGAATCTCCTCCTCGATCTGAACGTTACTTTCCGCTGAAGGCGCTTCATGGATTGCGGTCTGAATTTGGCCACAAGGTCTTGACAGCTATCAGACTTGGAATCCATGCTTTCAAGCACTCACTTGGGGTGTTGCGCACTCTTTTGAATGAAAAGCCCACACTGGGCCCCACGTGGCCTCCCAAGCCCCGTGGGGCTCCGTCAACCCAAGAACTCGTCCTTTCTTCGCGTCGCCACCATCTTGAGAGTGCTGAAGAAATCCGATTGGAAAAGACGAGCCTCAAAGAGATCCCAAGATATCAATCCCTTCCGATAGGAAACCCGACTGGAAATCTCTTCAGATCCCTTTCTATCCAAAAAGCGATGGAATTCGGGCCAGTTTGGTCAGTTGGGTCAGAAAAGGGTCGCGCCTTCACGAAGATGTTGGCCATGCTGGGCAGAGTCAAAGTTGGATTCCCCACAAACCTCCAAGACTCGGAGGTTACAACCGTCCGAATGCGTCGAGTGAGTGAAAATCAGGCGATCGAGTCACCAATCGACCAACTTTGTGTTAGGCGATTGCAGGGCCGCTACCACATAGATGGACACATCGTTGAAGAACCTTGGAGGAGCTTTCGGCAACATGTGTGGACCAACGCACGAATTAGAAATGCTCCTCCAATGCTAACATGCATGTCTCGGATGTGATTACATGCTGTCCAAACTGAACGGTTCAGAGCCTTGAGGCGGGATCCGAAATGGTTCACATTCGGATCAGTGCGGACGGCTGGGCATCGGTTTCACCAGCGAAAAGCTTGGCACCAAAGAAACCCCATCGATGCAGAGGCCCCTAACATTTTGGGTGGACTCACTTTGGGTCACGGTATAGTCACGGTATGGATGTCTTTGGACGTCTCCGACTCTTGGCTAAGGCTCTCTTGGTCAACCCGCTGCAGGTCCAAGAAGGATCGACAGAGCTGAACCAGGTCCTGGCCGTTGAGCGCTTGGAAAGCGACAAAGGAATTGGGTGATGTATCCGATGTCTGATTCACATCTCCTATGCTCTCTTTCTAATTTATTAGCAAGAATGCAAGTAAGGCATACCAGCATCAATGGCATTAAGTTGAAGAAGAGATGTCGAATTACAACAACAAGCAGAACTTCTATCATGCTCCTGCAGCAAGAATGGAGTGGCAGGCACTTTGCCGGAGAAGCTGGTGAGGGGAGCACAGACTTCAGGCGAAAGCTCCTACGAGAGAATTACGCAACAATTCAATTGAAAAATGCAGATTTGTGCGTTTGCTTTCTTGCACTCCTGCTGCAAGTCTATGTCCATCAGTGACACTGCCCGCAGCATGAGAGCCTCACATCGCTTCAAGACGTTATGCGGCCAGTATGCGGCCATTTGGGTAAAAGAAACGCATGCCCTCCAAGCTACGCTGGCTGCACTGCAATCCTCCACCCTCAACAACAAATTCTGCCTCAAACAAATCCTCGTCAACGATCTTGGCACTTGCAAAGGCCACCACGATGTCGGTGATCACCTGAGGCACGAGCACCCTCGGTGAAGCACCGAAGGGTGCACCGTGCAACCGGCAACTGCAAGTGGTTTGACCCAAGCAGCCTTGGGAGAAAGGCTACGTTCTCCCTCTTTGAATTTGCATCGCCGCAAACATTCCTGTCCAAATCGCCAGATCCAGGGTGTTTTACAGCCCAGCCAACCAGCCAACCAGCCGACCGACCAGCCAAGTGAAGCAACTTGGCATTTCTCAGGTCCGGCGTCCTGCTTCACCACGCTGAACAGGCCTGGATTCTTGACCTGCGCCTCGGGTGAAGTTCGTTCCTCTCTGCGAACACAGAACCGTCGTCGTCCCCACCTTGGCAAAAACATAGACCAGTCGCCCAAGAGAATCTCGATCTAAGGTAGAGATGTTCTCTGCCACATATCTTCCAACCTGAATTTCAAGCAAAACGGTTTCCCTCAGAGTGCTCAAGTCACATCTCGTGGCCACTCAATGTAAAACCACTCGCCTCTTGGAAAAGACTGGCTATCACGTTGCGTGATTCCAAAAGAGTTTGCAACCTTAGTGGTATTTTTTGTGGATCGAATCAAGTCTGTAGATGCTGGACATAACCTCGATAAGATATGTCTGTTTGCAGCTGCGATCGACAAATAGACTGCTGCGATCGGGTGAATCTCTGGCAGCCTGCTCAGGAGTCCTTCCTCGCAGCGTGGCAGCGTGGTGGCCGGAGATCTAAAGATTCCTTCACCAACAAAACTCCAAGGGAACCATCTACAGTACTCAGTCTTTAAGTATCCATGTGTCATGATGTTTGGTGCAGAAGTTCTTGGCCAAGGGGCTTTCTCATCGGTCAAAAAGTCAAAAAAGGCTTTGCCAGCATAGCCTTGGACTGGCAACGTTGTTCAATCAAAAAGAGCGTTCCGAAGAGTCTTAACCCAGAACTCCATACAGAAGTTGGAGTAAGGCCAGGAGCCCCTAGTAGCGTCTTTGCTCCTATAGCGATGCCCTTTGCTCCTAGTAGCTTCTTGTTCCTGCAACAATGATGAAAGTCTATACAGATGAGCGGCAATCAACTCGACGTCGCTCCTTCTCGGGCCCAAACTGCCAAAAGGTCATTCGACGACAATCGTGGAATGTACGCGGCTTGCTTTTGCTGTAGTCATCCAAGGCTCTTCTCGCTAAAGCTTTGTAAATTGCCAACGGAGCATGAACGAGAGGTCTCATCTGTTGTAGGAGCTTCCTGCACTCACTCCCATTGAGATGTCGAATGCTTGCCACTTCAGGTAGCAGCTCCTCTTTTTCTGACTCATTTGGGTTCCGAGTCGTTTTGGGAGTTGGACCAGGATCTCCGGTGGCAAAGTCGGGTTCTCTCGGCTGCTTGTCCATTGAGCTCGTCACTGGTCTCTCCACTTCTTTCATAACCTTGCCAAAGTTCGATCGCAAGAGCTTCAACTCCTCAGTCTTCAGCTTCTTCAGACCAACTTCCCGTCGGTGCTTCCGTGTGATGCTGGTTGACCAGTCCTCGTTGGAATCCGGTGATGGTTCCTCTGTGTAATCAAGGTACTTTCCTGACCCTTCATTGCATTCAACTTCGCATTCGAGATCCGCAGCTACCTCCGCTTTGTCTTTCTGACGCTTTTTCTCTATGTCCCTGTGGAGCATTCGCTGCATATGAACCAGCTTTGCCTGCTTTGATGTGAGTTTTGGATTGAGAGCTGAAGATTGCACAGTGAGCTTGGGCTGAAGATCTTGTTCCACCTTCACCTTGGAATCCGAATCCGGTGGCACCTCTGATTCGCAGTCTGATCCATCCGAGAAAGCAATTGCTGATAAATCTGTAGGATCAGGTTCTGCACGAGAATCTGGATTCAGAGAGAGTTTTGAAAGAAGAGAATCGTAGGTCTCTTGGGATGGCCATGCATGACTGCAATAGTCCAAGCACTCCTTCAACAACTTGCCGGAGTCGTTTTCGCCCAAGGAAGTGTTCTTCAACTTCAAGCTGCGTGCATCCAATTGGAAGGTTTGTGGGTCACACCAATCTGAGTGACTAAGGTGAGCCTGACGTGGCGACAAAATTTCTAAGACCTCACCTTCTTGGAATTGAAGCTCGAGCTTCTGGACATCTCCAAATGCTCCGACCATTGGTTCAACAGGTCATGGCACGGCGTGCCTAAGCAAAACCAAAACTTGACTGACGTACACCCATGTACTTTCCAAACAAATTTGCGGAAGCAGAATATGGATGAATATTGGATGATAACAAGACAAACAATTGGCCATGTTAAACTTCCTTCATGTGAGTTGTTGTGCTCAGGAGCCAGTGGACACAAGAAAGGCCTCTTGGGGACGGTAGAGAGTAAACAGAAACAATTGAGATTTGGTTCAATGTGTGTCCATACGTGTGTAAAAATACCCCACAACAAACCTCGATTTGGCACCTCCCACCTCCAGTTTCAAGGTCCAACACCCAAACTAACTTGAACCAAAGAGTGAACATGTTCTCAAGACCGCTACTGCTCATGAATGGCCACAAAAAACACAAAGTTATGCATTGCAATAAGTTGTGACCAGATATGTCATTCCAAAAACGTCGGGCGCAAAACAAAAGGCATACATGTGAGAAAGCACTGGGCACAAATCAGTCCAAAAGGCATTTGCACCTGTGACCTTTAGCCAGCCATTCCCCACCATTGTATGACCAAATTGTGACATTGGGCAGGATCAAGGGGCAATTACGTCCTCGAAATCCTGCTGGCAAAAACGACCCAGCATCACGCATTGTTCTGTCGCAACTCAATGTTGAAATGGATTGGATTCGGCCATGAACGGCGCTTCGTTTGGTGACGAGGCTAATAGGGCCAAAACAAGACCCACAAACAAAACAAAATGGAGTCCACGAACCCGAGTGCAAACACGTTCCAAAAGCTACATATGTCCAAATGACACTCTTGTAGGACACTCTTGGTCCCACACTCTTGTGGGACACTCTTGTGGGTCACTCTTGTAGGAAGCTCTTGCAGGGCACTCTTTTGGGACACTCTTGTAGGACACTCTTGTGTGTTCTACTAGGAATTACATTTGACATGCTATGAACTGCTGGTGCAAACGCTCTGCTAAAGTCGCTCTCTCTTTTTCGTTTGCCGGAACGTTGGATTCGTTTCTGGAACCCTTCTTGGATTCACTATGATGGTCAAAGGCCCCCAACAAAAACTATCAGAGTGAAATCCTACATCGCCCCAAACCCCCTAAAGACGTGATGGGGGATTTCCGGCAAATATACTTTAAGGGAGTGACCAAAGAAGCGATGCATCCGACGGAACTAAGGAACAATGTGACTCAGGACGCCAGAGATCGGCCACAGTAAATCGGATACGGTCTTTTTGTAAAAACCATGAGGAATATCAGATTCCAAGTTCCACCTGCTCAGGTCATCTGCAATGATGTTGGCTTGGCCGGGGATATGGCCAACATCAAGTTCAATGCAAGTTTGGCTGGCAAATTTCGTCAGGACTTCAACAAAAAAGCACAAAGGTTTGGTAGCTGTGAAGCATTTATTGCTAACAGCTTCCGCGCCAGTATTGTCACTCAAGGATTTCAAACAGACCAGGATGAAAAGCTGCCACTAAAATCACCAAACCAATCTGCGCCAAGGTTTCAAAAGACGTTATGCTCCTGCATATCAGCCTCCAACTGAAAAGGAAGGCGTGAAACATCTTGGTGAGTGAACTTTTCAGAAAACCATAAACAATGTCCTGACTTGTGCTGAATGAAGCCACCTAGTTGACAATAGTCGCCTGCCGCACAAGCATCTGCAGCTGCAGAGCCATTCCAGTATGGTTTCGGTGCCATAGAACGACATGGTACCAAGTGAGCTAACCAATCATCAAACAGTTTCAGTATTCGGTATGAATCTTCGCGGACAGTTCGACGTGAGGAAGCTGGGTCTTTAATGCGAAGCCACAACCTTTTGTCAGGAGAAATGCGAACTTTCTGCAAGTCTTCTTTTGATTGCAATGTAGTGTGTCGCACAGCAATCAAAGTACTGCCAAGTGGCACCGCAGAATGAAGTGGTCTGGAAACAAACTCCAAAGAGTCCGAAAGATGCTCGGCAGGTTTCGGCCAGTCCCCTGGATCCATGCTGTAATGTGTTGCAGGAATGAGGTACAAGTCCTGATACAGGTAATGAATCCATGTACGCATCAATGGAAAATTTTGTGTAATCCACATCAGCAAGCCAATTGTCTTTTCCAGCAGTTTGCGTGTCGTTTTGCGAGAACGTCGCAGTTCGGCCACATAAGATTTTGTTTTTCCAATTTGGGCCGAGGTAAGGTGATAACACCTGCTCGAAAGTTGAATTGCCAACCGATCCAAGTGACCACTGACTCAAGTTCCGATTTGCGCCAGCTGATCGGAATGCGTGTGATCTGACAGAAAAAGCAGCATTTTCTTTGCCTAGCTTTCGCCACCCCCCTTTGGGCCACAAGTCAAGATAGTAATTGCCATTAGACCTTTTCAGTGTGTCCTAGCAGAGAGACACTCTTGGCAACACAGCCCGTCATGTTAGACGATACAGATGCTAGAACGCATTGTATCGAGGCGAGGTGTAAAGCATTTTGAAGTGCACACGCACACCACTTTGTACAGATCTGGAGTTCACTTGATGTGCAGCTATTTGCTAGTTGAAAACTACTCACCGCGCGTGGCGCTCGGCTCGAAAAGTGCGCTGCCTAACATTCCTACAAGAGTGTCCGACAAGAGTGTCCCACGAGAGTGTCCTACAAGAGTGTCCTACAAGAGTGTCCCACAAGGGTAGGAGAGCCACAATAGTGTCCTACAAGAGTGTCTCACAAGAGTGTCCCACAAGAGTGTCCCACAAGAGTGTCCCATAAGAGTGACCCACAAGAGTGTCCTACAAGAGTGTCCTACAAGAGTGTCCCGTAAGAGTGTGCCACAAGAGTTTCCTACACGAGTGACGTTTACTGTACTCGTTCAGTGGTGTTTTGCTGGGATCTTCACTTTGCACCAAAACATTTTGAATCAAGGACTTACATTTGAGGCATCCATTTCATTTTTACATGTGCATGGGCTTTCAGCTGGCTTTCAGTTCATGCTTCAGGTCATGCTTTCCATTTCATGCTGTCATTACTTTCATGAATTATTGTTTTTATCTTTCATCGGCGCGGGGCGATGGATGCGGATTGGAGTACTCCCCCACGTTTGACCTGATCCAGGCGTTACTGTCAATCATTTTGATTGTGAACGCTTTCGTGTTCCGAATCCTGCATTGGCGCCCTCATCGACTCCTCAGGGTTCGGGCCTCGAATCCCTGTATCAGCGCAATTTCATTGCGCATTTTGTTCCAAACGCTGTGGTCGCAACCGGCCCGGTGATTCTCATCATTCTTGTTGGGAACATCGGCATCATCGTGGATAGCACCATGCAACCCCCTATTGAGTTGATTAGTGATGCGGAGTCCGACCTTGAGGATTGGCAGGCCCTTTTGGATGGTTTCACAGAACCTCGGAGCAAGGCAGCCGCCTTACCTCCGCCACGGTCAGGACAGCTGAGTCCTCGGGTTCCGGCTCTGCAGCAGGTTTCTTCGATCGGTATTCTGCCTCACCCTCAGCCATCAGATTTGGTAGTTCATGCTGGCATTCCGCGTGTGGGTTCATGGTCCTCTTCTTTGACGCCACCAATAGCGCCCGGGCCTCATCCACGTTTTGAGCGTTCCTTGAAACCCCTTTGCCAAAACCATGCATTGAAGTTCACAAGAGTGAGAGTCTTTGCCGGAGTGACCATTTTTTGGACCGTATGCGTTCTACCAAAACTGTGCCCGATTCTCGACCGCTTTTGGAATCGCACTCTTCGCCAGTCTTGGACAAGGGCTTGCGCCTTCCTGCCAAACGATCGACAGAGACTCCAACTCGGCAGGTACTTCGAGCCAGGCACTCCAGCGCTAGTCCATTGTTGTTAGCCAAATGGATGCAGTTGCTTGCAGGGGTTCAATCAGTTTCAAACTTGTGGATTAGCATTTCCACCTCGCCCAACAGGGATCTGCATGGAGCCAGGATTTTGGATGGGATTGCTCCCAGCACTGCATTGAAATACATTTCCTCATGTGTGACTTTCCTGAAAACACTGCACTTATTGCGTGTGTCATTTGATGATCTCACAGACACGGTATTGGCTGATGTGTTGATCACTATGTCGCTGGCCAAATCGAGCTCCTCCGCTGGGGGTTCATGCGCTTCCACCATCAAAGCTTTGAAGTGGTTGTTTCGCGTGGCAGATATTCCCACTCTGTCCGCCGTGCAGTCAGCTTTGATTCATTCATTTCTGACCAGTCGTATTTCTAAGGATCGCCGAGAGGCTCCACCCCTCCCACTTTGGGTGCTGGCTCAGTGGGAGCGCAGAGTCTTAGTCTTGATGTCTAGTTGCCCCATTCATGAAGTCATCATACTTGGTGCCTTTTTGATCATGGCTTGGGCCAGTTTGCGTTTTTCGGATGCCCAGAGAATGGACATCGACAAGGTTGTCCTCTCCGACACCAATCTGCGTGGCGTGGTTTGGCGTTCAAAGACTTCCACTGTGGGCGTCCCATTTGGGATCCTTTCTGCGGGTTTCTTGAGTCACGGAGCGCACAATTGGGAATGAAAGTTTTTGTCTACATTGGATACTTTTTATCATAACGGTCAAGTACAGGTACAAGCAATTGATTTTCTGTTGCCAGATTGTACGCTGGATCAGATTTGCCTCCCAATCGAGCCCATGAGCTATGCCATGGCCCTCTATTTTTTGAGGACCATGCTTCATTGTCCCTGGCGTTCAGGTCCCAGTCCACTGCATGGTCTGGATCTGAATTTTTCGATCCATTCCCTCAAGGCAACGTTTTCGAGCTGGGGTCCGCAGTTGCATGAACACATCACACCGGAGCAACGTCTCCTACAGGGGCATCAAGCTTCTCGGTCTTCGTCTCTCGCTGTGTACTCGCGGGACAGCGTTTGGGGGCGTTAGCTTTTCAGAAACAGGTTCTCCTCAGGGTGCAATCGGAGTGGCGCCCCCAAATTGCTCAACATCGAGGATCACAACAGCCGTTGAAAGAACCACCAGTCCTACTTGAAAGATTCTCCAAACCTCTGCCG